CACACACTGAACTTGGGCAGCCAAACAGAGATATGAGGCCAAGGCTGTAATTCCCTTGTATAGGCCCTGCCTCTAAATAACCACAATAACTGGGATGCAATTCCTCAGTCTCTTCACATGCCTAATTCCCGACGACTTCAATGAGCGTTTCTGCCAGAGACAGAGCTGCAGAATTACTCCTAACAACTGGCATGACTTAACTTGTTTCTTCTTATGACTTTATGGTTTACTCACATGTCAAATTGTATTTTCTGAATAAGCAGAATGGATATAATAACCCTCTTTCCTCAAGTAGGTCAGAGTTTTCATTGGTTCTTCAGGGCAAATTACTGTAATATGTGAACATTTCATGTATTCTCTTTTCCATATTTTGGGTACTGTCAAGTGGGTCTTTTAGGTATCTACCCTATCCAAACAAATCCCCAGGTGCTGCTTTGGTGCTCCTCTCGCCTTTGCCTCCTGTGACCATCCTGGTGTTGCAGCTCAATAAAGGCCATTTCAGCGTTTATTGGTGTTGATTATTGTGTATAATAAAAGTATTCCTCAGTTTCTCTAAACTCTTCCCCTCCTTTAATGGCTGCATCACTGGTCCAAAATTTGTGTTCATAGACACTCCTTTTCTAACAGGAGACACAATTTGCCTTTTGCCTTTTCCGGGTTGTTTGCAAGTCCTGCCCAGAATGAGCATCCATGTGCTCGGACAATGATTCCCCAGGAGGAAGGGGAGCCTTGGCCTCAGGTGGATGAGACAGAATTGGGGTGGCTGGGCAAGGCATGAACACATTTCTGAGTTCTGAGTTACAAAGAGAAAATAACAAGACTACGGAAATCTCCCGCACTTGGGAGCTTGCGGTGCTCTGGATTAAATCCCGGGACTCCTCCTGTCCCCAGAAGGGAGGGAGGGAGCACAGACCATGCGGACAGAGCCCCCGAGCAGGGCTGCGGAGCAGCGGCGGGCAGTAAAGCAGGGAGGGACAGCGGGCTGGGGCAGAGGTGGTCGTGTCAGGGTCGGCACGAGAAGTGCCGCCGAGCCGGGGATCAGCCGGAGCAGGGATCAGTTCCCGCGGGCAGCTCTGTGTTCTGGGCTGTTGGCTGTTGAAGCACCCCCCGAGAGACAAAGTGTGGCACAAACACCTCTCTGGAGGTGTGAGCTGAGCTCTGGACAGGGCAGCGTGGCTGGGGTGGGCAAAGGCAACCTCCTGCTGCTGCTGCTGGACCAGTTTTCAACCGAAAAAGGGAAGGGGATTTTGTCCACTGCTTACGGAGCACGATTTTGGGGCTGAGTGGTTCCCGGGGAGGTGCATCACAGTAACGTTCAGAGGCTGCCAAATGCTGGAATTTGGGTCTTTGCAATGATTGCTCGGTGGAAACTTTGGGCAGAGGGGAGTCACGGCAGGTGTGCTGTCCCACCCTCGGAGGGCAGGCGGGATCGCTTCCAAGGGTGCTTCCAGAGAGCAGCCACCTGTCGCCGGCCGGGAGGGTGGGAGCGGCGGGCGGATTTCTTGGCCGCGCCATCCTTTGGGAGCTGCAGCCCAGGAATGTGTGTTTTCCAGCGCTGCGGGCTCCTGGCATTGATGGGTACAGGACAGGGAACACAGGCGTGGAAAAGGCACGTGAGAAGGGGAAGTGTTTCTCTGAGCGTGTTGTTACGAGTGACCCGCTCCTTTATGAGGACTGTTTTATTGTGGGTGTTGTGGTAAATTGTTCTTTATGAGGGCTGTCTTAGTTCCGTTTCCAAAAGGCTTTGAGGGGAGGGGAGAGCTGACGGGCATTCCGTTTCTTGAATGAACCAGAGGTTTCGTCATCAACACTGTGAACTTCCCAGAAATTCCATGTCCGGGCTTAACTCAGTAAAACGAGGCAGAAAAGAACTGAGTGTGAATTTATTAATAAAGCAGGTTATCCGAGGGGGGGAAAATACTGTCTTCATCTGCTGTACTCCCCAAAGGTCTCTGACAAAGTCAGTTCAAACAGCTTCTCTGGGTAACCTGTGCCAGGGCCTCACCACCCTCACAGGGAGGAATTTCTTCCTAATATCTCTGTCAGTTTGAAGGCATTCCCCCTTGTCCTGTCACTGCATTCCGTTGAAAATGGTCTCTCTCCATCTTTCTTGTGGGCTCCCTTCAGGTACTGGAATGCTGTAATTAGGTCATCCCAAAGCCTTCTCTTCTCCAGGCTGAACAATCCCAATTCCTCAGCCTTTCCTCATAGCAGAGATGCTCCACCCCTCTAGTGACCTTGGTGCCTCCTTTGGACTCACTCCAACATGCCCGTGTCTTCCTATGCTGGGGACCCCAGAGCTGGATGCAGCACTGCAGGTGGGGTCTCACCAGAGTGGAGCAGAGGGGCAGAATGAGCTGGGACCAAGTGTAGTGCTCAAAACAGATGGGTCACTGCCTATTTTCAGCCTTAAAATTTTAGAGATTTCACAAAAAAATCATATCTTCAATTAGAAATAAAGGGGTTTCAATAGCTCCTAGATAATAACTGCCTCTGGACTTAAGAAACTGGGCACAGTACAAAAGTGTACTCATTCAACAGCCTTGACTCTGAAATGTGTTTTGCAATTTAGCCCCTAAGGCACCACCTTTTGGTGCTTTATGCATTCCACCCATCTTTGGCAGCTGATGTAGGGCACTTTGTTGGCAGAATTAGGCTAGTAGGAGACATAAACATATTAGCAAATTGAGCCTAACTCTCTGTGTGTTTATAAAGAGCACAATATTATCTTTTCTCCTCCCAGCCCTCGCTGCATCAAGTTGACTGCACATTGGGAAAATTTTTTCCGAGGGCATTATTCTCCCAAGGCATAAGCAGTGCTGCTCCCTGACATCCAAGGTTTGGGCAATTTGGTTAAAAGATATGACAAGATTCAGGAATGTTTTCAAATGAGGGTTTGTTTAGTGCAGGGAAGATATGCAAATTCTGTGTGTCAACTAGGATATTGTTTTCTTTGTGGAAGAAATAAACTCTTTTCCAGCATGGATAAATTTGTTACAACAATCTACAAACAAAGAGCAAGAGGCACCCAGAATTCATTACTGCTAAGACTGAGGGGTTTTTTTTGCTTGGTGGGGTTTTTTTTTGTTTTGTTTTGGATTTTCTTCCTTCCTACTGGGGTGGGTAAGAGAAAAAGCGAAATACTCTTGATGTTCTTCTGTACTCTGCTCTTGTGAGACCCCACCTAGAACACTGTGTCTAGCTCTGGGGTCCTCAGCACAGGAGGGACGTGGATCTGTTGGAGTGAGTCCAGAGGAGGCTACAAAGATGATTATGGGGATGGAACACCTCTGCTATGAGAAGAGGTGGAGAGAATCGGAATTGTTCAGCCTGGAGAAGAGAAGGCTATGGAGAGAACTTAGAACCCCTTCCAGTACCTAAATGGGTTACAAAAGAGCTGGAGAGGGACTTTGGACAAGGGCCTGGAGGGACAGGACAAGGGGGAACACCTTCAAATTGAAAGAGTGTATGTTTAGGTCAGATATTAGGAGCAAATTCTTTACTGTGAGGGTGGTGAGGCCCTGGCACAGGTTGCCCAGAGAAGCTGTGGCTGCCCCATCTCTGGAAGTGTCCAAGGCCAGGTTGGATGGGGCTTGGAACAACCTGGGATAGAGGAAGGTGTCCCTGCCCGTGGCAGGGGGTGGAACAAGATGAGCTTTAAGGTAATCTCCTACCCAAACTTATCTATGATTCTTTTGCAAAAAACCAGCATGTATTTATCAAACAGACCTCACAGTTCCCTTTCAATGTCCAGATCTTCCAGTTACAAAACACTCTCCAAGTGTAATTTAGCCTGGGGAAAGGTCAGGGTTGTGCTGGCTCGTTCCAGCCTGTCCCTGCTCACCTGCTGGTCTGAGCTCAAAGCTCCTGGACCTCACTCCCCCCACACCTCCCTCCCTCCCTCCCAAGGATCAGTGTGTGAAGTCTGGGGCTCCGTCAGTGCCGTTCCATGTGGAGAAGGGCAGCCTGTCCTTGGCAGGCCATGGGTGTGCTGGATGAACCGTGGTGGACTGGGGAGGAGGTTGGTGCATCCTGCATATAGGTCAAAAAACACCTGGCAGAGGAGCTCCATGAGGAATTCATTAGCAAACTTAGTGAATCCCTGACTATTATTATTTTAATTATTTTATGTTAGCCATACATAAAAAGATGGTGAAAAACTCCTGCAAAGCTTTTCTGAAGAGGAAGGTCAGGGCTGGGCTTCTACGGTCCTCACAGAGCACTTCTCAGGGCATCCTTCTAGTTCCTGGATGGAACTTACAGGAAAGATGAGGCAAGACTCTTTACAAGAGCATGTAGTGACAGGACAAGGGGCAATGGCTTCAAATTGAAATAGAGTAGGTTTTGATTAGGAAAAAATTATTTCCTATGAAAGTGCTGAGGCCCTGGCACAGGTTGCCCAGAGAAGCTGTGGCTGCCCCATCCCTGGAAGTGTCCAAGGCCAGGTTGGATGGGCCTTGGAGCAACCTGGGCTAGTGGAAGGTGTCCCTGCCCATGGCAGGGGGTGGAACTGGATGATTTGAAGGTCCCTTTCAACCCAATCATTCTACAATTCTCTGATCCCAAGGAAGCAACTTGCAGCTGCCAGCAGAGTTACCACCACCATCCCACACAGTTCCCATTTCCTAGTCCCTCTCAGTTTTTACTCAGTGCTCACCCTGTCCTGCAGCACCTTCCCCGACGGGGCCAAGGGCTGGTGACGGCGACCCGAGGGCGCTCGGGCAGGGCCTGGGGGGCTTCACCCCGCCGAGGTGTGGGGGGGATTCTATGGCCACAAGGACTGTTCCTGTGCTGGTTTTGGCTGAGGTGGAGTTAATTTTCTCCACAGCGGCGAGTGTGTTTTGGACAGCCCCCGGGGGCAATTCGGCAGAGAGGAGCGGAGCCCCCGCTCTGAGGGGAGGGGAGAGCCCCCCCCTACAAGGGCCGGGGGGGCGGTTACCGGACGCGGGGGCCGTGGCTGTCAATCATCCGCAGCAGCCAATCGGCGGGCGCAGCGGCGGTGACGTCAGCGGCGGGGCGAGGAGAAGTGACAGAGGCCCGCGGCCGCCGCCTCCTTTTCGCCGCGGGCCCCGGCACCGGCAGCACCTCCGGCGGCACCTCCGGCAGCACCTCCAGCTCCAGGTACGGCCCGCCCAGCCCTCCCTCGGGGGACATTCCCGCCTCCCGCGGCCCGGCAGGCTGTGAGCCGGCCCCGTCGCCCAGGCCCCGCAGCGCTCCCGCGGGCGCTGTGTCGGTGCGGGGAGCGGGGGCGGTGACAGCCCCGTCCCTCCGCTGTGCTGTGTCAGGCCCGCGGTGCCACAGCTTTGCCTCTGCAGTGCCTTTGTCGTTGGCTTTGGCGGGGGGGGTGGCGAGAGGGATCTTCTACTGGGTTTATTGCTTTTTATTTTTTTTTCTTTTGCTGGAGAAAAGGAGGCTCAGGGGGAACCTTCTCTCTCTCTGTGACACCCTAACGGGGAGGGTGGTCGGGCCCTGCTCCCAGGGAACAAGGGATAGGAGGAAAGGAAATGGCCTCAAGCTGTGCCAGGGACGGTTTAGGTTGAACATCAGGAGGAATTTCTTCACAGAAAGGGTGATTAGACATTGGGAGGGGCTGCCCAGGGAGGTGGTGGAGTCACCGTCCCTGGAGGTGTTTAAGGAGAGACTGGATGGTGCAATCATTGCTCTGGTCTGGTTGACAAGGTGGTGTTGGGTCATAGTTTGGACTTGATGATCTCGGAGGTCAGTTCCAACCAAACTGATTCTGTGATTCGGGATTCTTCTCTGCCAGTTTAGGTCCTGAGCTGTTCCTGATGTCTGCCAAGGTAGCTTGGCACACCCACACCGCTGTCCCTCCTGCTTGTCCCCTGGAACATTCACCCCCTTTCATTCAGCTGGTAAAGGCAGCAGTGTGGCACTAATTCCTCTCTGCTGTATCAACATGACTCTGACTGTTTTTATGTATTTGACAGTATCTGCCATTTACCTTAGGGTGTGCTTCAGTGTCTGTCAGGGTTTGGGTCGTACAACCATTCAATTTACCTGTGAAATCGCAGGCACTGACCCCTGTCTGGATATTCTTGCTCAACAGCTGAGCAGAGTTGTTCAAGTGTTTCACAGCTCTGCTTTGGGTGATTTTTCTTTTCTGATGCAAGACCTTTTCCCCTTGGTGTAATTCCCTGGCTTCTAATTCCTGTGCTGCCTGCTGCAGGGCACGATCATATTTCTCACTTCCTCATTGTTGGTAACAAGACCGGGTTTCTTCATTTGGTTTGTTTATTTTTTTTTTCCTTATTTTTTGCCCCTCCTCTTTCCTGAAATTTCGGTTCATCTTCTCTTGTGTATCATCAAAGCCAGATTTTTCTCCACCTTTTAACTTCAGATTCGTCTGTAATTCCCAGCTTCACTCAGCCCTACTCCATGTAATCTTCTAAACCTTGGATAAAATGGTGTGGTCTCACTAGCACAATTTGCAGGGCATTTCTCTTCATGGAGGGGAAAGCCCTTCTAAAAAAATCTGATTAATATTTTCCAGCCTCTTTGAAAGAAGTAAAACAAGAACCTCAAACTGGGGATCTGTAATTCTTCATGCAGAAAAGTACCTCTCTGATACAGGGCAGATGAGAGTTTAGTTTCTTTACACCCATTATTTCAGGAATGTCTGGGAAATCTCCAGAAATATAGAAGCTTGTGACAGGATTAGCTGCTCTGCCATGGAGGTGTGCCAGGGGCCAGGCTGTCACAGACCAATTACATTTTAGTAGTTAAGCAGGTTGCAATTTTGTATGGTCAGAATTTTTTCTTGCACAGAGAATTATTTGTCTTTTTTGTTTGCAGAATCTTTGAATAACCATCTTGAAAAGTATTAACACAAATGTCTAATATTTAACAGCTGGAAACATGCCCAGAGCTGTGCAGCTGCTGTTCATCTCCTGCTGGAATGGAGAGACTATTGACTCTTCCTAAACTCTTGGATTTTGGTAGCTGATTTTAGTAGGTGGAGAAAATAGTCTTTTGGCTTTGGTTAGAAGTGAGGAGCAGCAAAGTAATACCTGAGGAGTTTGCTGAAAGAAATACCTCTCTGTTCAAGGGGACACATCCACGGTGCTGATCTTTTCCAAAATAAATTAGGGATAAATCCATGACTTAGCACTTCTGTCTCTGCAAGGAGCCTGAAATAACAGCACCCTTGTGTAAGCCATCCTTGCATTCTCTTGTTGGCATTTAACACCTATATTTTGGTTAGATTTTACAATATGCTTTGGTTGGGTGCTGCAGCAGTGCCAAGGCTGCTCAGCTCTTCAGTTTGCTGTGGAGTGTGATACAGAGGAGGCTGCATTTCATACTCAGAGTACTTATTGTAATCTGTGATCCTCCTTTGGGGCTTAAACCATTTGACAGCTTATAAATGTGATGTTCTGCAAGACTAGAAACTTGAGCTTTGAGAGCTCTTGGTGGCTCTCTGCTGTTCCCTGCTGTGAGGAGAGCTTGCTTGGACAGCTTTAAAAGTGCCAGCTCACTTCCCCTTCTCTGGGACGTATCTTTGTGTTGTCTGAGGTGCTGGCACAGAGAAGAAATCCAAGTGCATTTCACTCATGAAACCCTCAGATTATCATAGATGGTAACAGTACAAGGTTATATGTTCAGGGAAAATTGCTGAGTTCACTAAGAAAATAGAGAGTGCTCTAATAATCATTAATATCTGACATATGATTACTTTCCATCTGTTTTTTGATCACAGAATCCCAGAATGGTTTGGGTTGAAAGGGACCTCAAAGCTCATCTTGTTCCAACCCCCCTGCCATGGGCAGAGATACCTTCCACCATCCCAGGTTGCTCCAAGCCCCATCCAGCCTGGCCCTGGAGACTTCCAGGGATGGGGCAGCCACAGCTTCTCTGAGCAACCTGTGCCAGGACCTCACCACCCTCATAATAAAGAATTTCTTCCCAGTATCTCATCTGAACGGACCCTCCTTCAGCTTAAGTCCATTCCCCCTTGTCCTGTCCCTCCAGGCCTTTGTCCAAAGTCCCTTTCCAGCTCTCTTGGAGTCCCTGTTGGCACTGGAAAGGGCTCTAAGATCTCCCCAAAGCCTTCTCCTCTCCAGGCTGAACCATTTTAAGAATGATGGTCTTAAAAAAGTATTAACAGTGAGTGCTCTATGTAGTTGGCAGCATTTTAAAATCCAGAATGGAACATTTTAAAATCCAGAATGCAATTTATGTAAAAAGTTACAAATTTTGCTTCTTAAACCTGATCTCAGTTAAAACTAATCAATCCTTTATCAAATTTGTTGATATTATCAGCTAAAGGTGATTTGTGTCCAGTGCTTCTTCCTAGTGTTATATTATTTACTTTCTGATTCTGTGACAAGGTTGGTCTTACAGTAGTCTTTGGCAGAAAAAAGGCATTTCAGTAGAAAAAGAAGTTTGATGAACTTAACTTTCTTATTGTAATTTATATTAGTAAACCAAAATTAAGGCACAGTGAAAAAAGAACTCTTACAGGAAAAATGGTGTATCTAGTTCACAGACTTGGTGAGTCACACAGCTTAGTTTTCTTTCTGTTTCTGGGAGTGTGCATTAAAATTGAAAGAAAATACTAGTTTGAACTTAATCCCACATTTATACTTCACATAAGCTTTCTTGCTTGAGTTGCAAAAGAGTTGGGAAACCCGTAATCCTGGCAGTAAAACCCCTTCAGTCACATCGTACCTTTCATCCAAGTGTTGTTAGTGCTAATTATTAACTGTCCTTATTTTTCCCCCTCAGATCTATATCAGAATACCTGAGGTCCATCATGTTTTCCAAGCTGAGCCGCCCCCAGAGCGTTGCTGTTCTCTCTCGAGGTCTCCAAGCATCACTGAGTTCTGCTGCCTCAGTTGCTCCCAAAAAAACTGTTCAAAGGCCCGTCTCCTCTGAGCTGATCTATGAACGTGAGGCTAAATATGGTGCCCACAACTATCACCCACTGCCTGTTGCTCTGGAAAGAGGGAAAGGTATTTTATTTAAGTTTCCCTGAGTGTTGTAGAAGGAGATGTGTCTGTGCGGGTGGGTGGGATCAGTTTCTGAACCTTCGTTGGGTATTTTTTTAGGGTGGGATTGAGATAATTGGTGAAATAAAGGCAGCTAATTGTTGGTTAGAGAGCTGGATCATTATGCATAAAGCCATCTGTTAAAATGGTGATGTCTCTAAAATATTTTATCTAAATAAAGGTCAAAGTGCCAATAATCTCCAGAATAATTCAGCAGGAAAATTATCAAGCAACTTTTGTTTCTTCTTTTGCCTTGTTTGGGGAGGTTTAATGTTAATGTGAACATGAGAAGGTGCATTGGAACCCTATTTAAGTCCTTGTGCACTGTTCCTGTATTATTGCTTAACTTAAATTTACTCTGGTCTTTAATTATGTTTAAGGGGCTTTTTTGTCCTGTGAGTTTATGTTAAAATGCTATCAGCATAGTGATCCAATAGTTTCTCTTTTTCAGGGCACATTTTGACAGCTCAGAGCCTTCAGCTTCTTGAATTTTGAGATTATTTGGGTTCTGTTGATTTTGTTCTTTATTTTGTGACCTCCAGTTAATTCTCTTACAGAAGTTTTCTTCTCTATCTACCTTTTAGTGCCTAAAACAGAGACTTGGAGGGGAAGTAATAGTCTGATATTACTAACTCCATGGAATGGCAGCTTTATATTGGAAATGCTTTTTTTTTTTTGTTTCCTTATTTATTCTGTGCTAGTTTTGTTGCTCATGATCTCCTTGTCAACTGATTATTTTCTAGAGGCCCTTTCAGGAATGCCCTCAGGGATAGAGAGAATACCATTTAACTTGGCCAGGTTGTGTTGTAACCCTTAGTTTATACCATTTAGTATTGTCTCATGCCATCTTTTATTTTGTGTATTGACCATATGTTTCTTTTCCCAGGTGTTTATGTGTGGGATGTTGAAGGTAGAAAATATTTTGACTTTCTGAGTGCTTACAGTGCAGTAAATCAAGGTCACTGTCACCCAAAAATCGTGGATGCTCTGAAAGCTCAGTCTGAAAAACTGACCCTGACATCCAGGGCATTCTACAACGATGTACTTGGTGAATATGAGGAGCTCGTCACCAAAATGTTCAATTACAACAAAGTTCTTCCAATGAACACAGGTGAAGAAATGATTTTATTTCCATTTTATTTCTTGTCTATGAGATTCAGCAGTTGTGTAACATTTGGTGCTGCACTGATGGCCTCTCTCATGTACAGGAGTGATCATGGTGCTGCTTTGTGTTTCAGGGGTGGAGGCTGGAGAAACTGCCTGTAAACTGGCTCGGAAATGGGCATACACTGTGAAAGGAGTCCCAAAATACAAGGCTAAAATTATTTTTGCAGGTATGTAAAGTGTTCAAAGCTGATCAACTTCCTTAAAACTCTGTGTTATGAGTTGAGGCATTGAGGAGGAAGAGAGCTCTGGACGCTGGATTGTTGAGAGGCAGCCTGAAGTCACGTGGAAAGTACACTCAGTCCTCCATGCTCTTTTAACCACTTGAAGCTTAGTATCTTTTTATTCTTAGCTGGTTGTCTTTTATATAACTTTTTTGTGAATTCACTCCTCAAATTACTGCCACGCCTCTCACAGGTTGCACAGTAGGGTTAAACCTGCTTCCCTCTTAGGCTTCACCTACCAGTGGTTTTCTTTGCATCCTTGAAGTCTTCCAGAGATTAACCCAGTGGACATAACTCCATATTGGAGTCTTGATCATATAATGAAAGTAAAAGCAGTATTGCTGAAGGAAATATTGGGCCCTGATTCTCTGTTGAAATAGTTCCTCCCTTTGCCTGCCTGCTCTGCTTGGCTCCATTACAGGGAGGAGTTACCTGCCCCTGAAGAGACTGTTGTGCTTAGCTAAATAAAAAAAATGGAAAAACCCCCATATATAATAAAAAAATCTGATATTTAGTGTTCTTTGGTTATAGATAAAATGTTCTTGTCAGTGCTAATGTTGTTCAATGATTCTGTATTTTATTAAACCTTTCAGAATAAAGCTTACTACTTAAATATTGACCTTTTTCCCTGAGATTGCTGCAGCTGCAAATACTAGTTTTAACTTTTGGTACATATAGTACCTGAACCATAAGTGCCATTAGGCAGCATTTGTAAATTACAATTCATAGTTGAATATTGCATTATGTTTTCTGGGATTGAATAGAGATTTTTTTAAAATGTCTTCTGGGAGTTCTTTGAACAAATGTACTTCTCCTTCCTTTTCTTCTACATATATTTTATTTTGCTCTTCAGAAAGTTTACTTATAGTAAGTGCTTCTCATCTTGACAAAGTGGATATTCCCTCCATTTTGGCAGGAAAAAGAGCTCTCTTGGGTAGCTAAGGGGAAGCCTTTGAACATGAGTTTAGAGAACTCCACATGGATTCTGGGCTGGATAGTGAGGCACTGTGGAGACTGGAGCATCCAGGTGGAGACAGGCTGCCCTCAGCAGATCCACTGCTCTGCTTCCTGGGCTTTGGGATGACAGGGAATTGCTCTGACATAACCTTGAGGTGACAAGCAGGGGTTGTTGTGCTGGGGGACAGGGCTGTGGTGCTCAGTGTAGGGCTGTTTATGGGGTTCCCTGCAGGGTGGAAACATCCTCTGCCCCAGGATCACACTCACACAAAGGAATTAATGGGGGAGGAAGAACCTCATTATGTTGTGGAGATGTTGAACCCTTAATCTTCCTTAGTCTTATTAAACACCTTATTAATTATCTGAGAGTCTGTTGATTTCACCGAACTATTAAAATGAAGATATTACTGACTTAGTGACAGTTGGTTCCTGAACATTTTAACTGATGTTTCTAAATAAAATAGTGCAACATCACAATATTTTTACATATGTAAGTGGGTTTTTCTGGGCCTTTGAAATGCACAGAGTGTATTTTCTGATTTAGGCTTTGTGGCAGCTTTATTTTTAGGACTTAAATTAGGAATGGTGTTCATTTCCCCCTCTATATTTAATAAGTAATATTTACATAAAAGCTGAATGTCTTCCTTAAAAAGATATTATCTGACTTATTTTCAATTTTTCAGACTACTAACAAAATTTAAGGAAATTATTTTGAGTAAACTTACCAGGTCTTAGAGTATAATTTTATTTTGTTTTTTGATATGTTCTTTTGAACACATCAAAACAACACAGTATATTTATGACATCAATACAAAATGCTAACAATTAGAAGAAGGATGATAATATGCTGAAGTTAGATAACTTAAAATGCAGTAACAAATGGAAAGTATGATGTCCTTTAAACTGTTCTGGCTCTTGGTCAGTTTTGTAACAATCCCCCTCTTTTTTTTTTCAGCTGGCAACTTCTGGGGCAGGACAATGTCTGCCATCTCCAGTTCTACTGACCCATCCAGCTATGATGGATTTGGGCCCTTCATGCCAGGTTTTGAAGTGATCCCATACAATGACCTCCCAGCTCTTGAGGTATTTGAGAATTTTGTCATTTTACAACGTCTCTTTGGTAAATAACAAAGAAAATCAGAAACTTATCCCTTTGACACTAAGATACGTGTATCTAGATTTATTTAAGAAATATATGTTATTGATGTGCATAGGAAATGTGTGTAAATTCTGCTTTGGTTTTGATTTTCAGTTTTGCTTTAGGATGTAAAAGAAACACCACATGATCTGTTTCACATCTCACTAAGATGTTCAAGGTACAAATGAAGAACAACAGATAAACTGTGATGGAATTCAGATCAGTAGCTTACATTCCAAAAGTCAGGACTTGATTTCTGAAACTAATACCTTTAGCTACTTTTCTCAGAAATGCTGTGCATTCTTCAGTGACTAGATAACTGAAAGAGAGTAGGTTTAGATTGGATATTGGAAAGGAATTCTTGGCTGTGAGGGTGGTGAGGCCCTGGCACAGGTTGCCCAGAGAAGCTGTGGCTGCCCCATCCCTGGAAGTGTCCAAGGCCAGGTTAGACAGGGCTTGGAGCAACCTGGGCTAGTGGAAGGTGTCTCTGCCCATGGCTGGGAAGTTGGAACTAGAAGGGCTTTAAAGGCCCTTCCCACCCAAACCATTCTGTGCTTGTGTGACTAGAATTGACACAGTTGCAAATAAGTATTTCCATTTCACAGCATCCTTAAAACCACGCTGGGCTGGTGTTTTGCTTAAGCTACTGAAATGTCAGGGATTCTGCATTTCCCTGGGTTTTCTGAGTTTTGTTCTGTCAAGATGTTGGAGAAGGTTGACCTTGATTTGTCTAAAATTTTCCACCTTCATAATCTGGGTTTATATATTAAAGGGTATGTTGGGCTTGGTGGCAGCCACGGGGTGCTGGAATTGGGACCTGGGAGGCAAGAGGGTTCCAGCCAAATACAGATAGTCCTGAAGGGCTTGGAATGTTGGCATTGCCACTTTTGTCATAGAATCACAGAATGTTTTGGATTGGAAGGGATCTTAAAGATTGTCTTTTTCCAATCCATTACCTGGGTGCATCATCTCCATGAGCAAAATAGTTTCATTGGTTCTGCTTCATACAGGGAGGTGGGCTGTGGAGATTGGAGGGATTGTAGGACAGAGTTGATTGTCTCCTTAGAGTTTGGTTAGGATGAAAACAAAGGTCTCTCAGTGTTTTAGTTGCAGTGTGGAAAAACTTGCTCAGGTTTGAACCTACATCAGGGTGCCCATTGTGAAAGGCCTGTAAGTATTTAATGGCTTCATTAGAGCTGAATCCATTCTGTTTATGGGGCCATACTGAGAGAAGCTGTAGTAAATTCATGCTGGGAGTCATCACATCTCTTGTCTCTCCTGGACTTCTAAACCTTTTTGAACTTGATAGTGCAAGAATGTACCTGTGGACTTTGCTCTAAGGTAAAATTGTTCTGGAGAGGCTCCATTCTTTTTTGTTTGAGGGGAGAGTTGAGCAATTGTTTGTCTGGTATGGGGTCATGCAAAACTGAGGGTATTTCTGAGGTAATTTATGGACTGATCTGATAATGTGCTTATCTGAGTCTGCAATTTTTAAGGTTTGTACCTTCCCAAGTGAGCACAGCAGCTCATTTTACAAGGCAAATAGTGACATTGTGTTGGAACTGAAATGGCACTCAGGGATAACATGAATGCCATTATCGTTCCCTAAGGAAAAACACTGGGGCTAGAATTAGGTTCTGCTACGTGTATTTTCTAAATCTGACCTGAGTAAAGGCCTTTTCTTTTTGTCTTTCCCACCCATATGTCCATTTTTACAGCGGGCCCTTCAAGATCCCAACGTGGCAGCTTTCATGGTTGAACCAATCCAAGGGGAAGCAGGTGTGGTTGTTCCTGACAAGGGTTATCTCACAGGAGTGAGGGACCTCTGCACAAAACACAATGTAAGGAATTCACTGTAATAATGTGGCTTAAACATTACTGTGTTTACTGCTGTATCTTGTAAGGTCATCCTAGTCCTAGGTGTAGGACTTCATATATGATTTAATAATCTCCTTTTATTTCAGTGGAATAGGACAGGGATACTTCTTGTATTTCCTGCTCATACCTTACCTGAAAGTACTTCTTAGCAATGCACATTTTTCACTATTTCTTACCACTGTCACTGGTTTAAGTTACTGATGAATGTTCTTGAACTGCATTTATTTTAAATTAATTTAGCTTTTAATTTCTTTCTCACATTCTAAGTTTCTTGGGACTAAAGCAAATTACTGCAGTAATTAATAATTACCATGGCTATTAGGGGCCCTTGTTGGTGGAGTGCATAAGTGCCAAGAATTTGTAACAGTAGTGGGTCACAGAGTGAAACACTGAAGAAAATGGTTATCAGTGGTCTCTGATTTAAAAATCAGTCATCTCTGTTCCAACAGAATTCAGTCTAATTTGCAAGTGCTATTCATAATTCCTTCTATACCTTCAGAGGAAGGTATTGACATATTATTAATAAAGTTGTCTTTATTATTGTTATGATACCTCAAAAAAAGAGCTGTATTGTTTGAATTGAGTTAGGAATGGGAGTGAAACTCATTGCCTGATCTCTGCTCTTTTTGTCTCTCTGAAGGTTCTGTTTATTGCTGATGAAATACAGACTGGTTTAGCCAGAACAGGGAAAATGCTGGCTGTTGACCATGAAAATGTGAGACCTGATATAGTTCTTCTTGGAAAGGCCCTTTCTGGTGGCTTATATCCTGTGAGTAACAAAGAAATACCAATAATCTGAAATAATATCAAATTATTCAAAAAATTGTTGAATAATGATTTTTTAGTAATTAACATTGAAAATCTACCAGTTGGAAGAACAATAACTCTGATGTTTGTTGTGCTTGGAATTTGTTGTTTACAAGATTAGCTATGATTTATGACCAGACAGCCCAACCTGTGAGAGATACATAATAAAACAGTGGAATACCTAATACTACCTTTTTAGCTGAAGTGGCTGTTTTTCTGTCAGGAAAATAAGTGTCCAGTAGTCAGCTTTTCGTTATGGAATTTCTGGTTAGTCTTTTTTACTCTCTCTGGAGAGTAGGTTTATCACAGTCTTGCTGTGATTAATTTCTAGATGAATTCTGTAGAGGATAAAATACTAATATATGTTAAAACACACATTATGGAGCTGTTTTGGAACAACTGGCACGATTTCATGTGTTTGGCATGTCTGCATGACTGATTTTATCCTCTTGGAGGGACTTAAATTCCTGCTGATTAGGCTGGAAATTACAACATGCCTTGAACTATTTTGGCTGATTGAAGGTATTTCTGAGTTGTTAAACCAAGTGTTGAAGCCTAAGGTCTTGAAATAATATTCAGTTTGGAGAAATGCCTTTCTGCTGTAGTTGGGAGTTACATGTTACCACTATATCTAAGTGTATTTAAGGGATTAATGAGGGGATTGCCAGATCTTCTCTCCTGTATACAGAACTGGGAATGTAAATGTAATTTATTACCGTAGGCTAAAAATTTCCTGAGCCCTGAGGAAAAGTTTGCTTCAGAGGTATTAAAGTTTACTGTTTTAAATATATCTTTAAGTTAATTTGCTGACCTCCCCATTTTAGGTCTCAGCTGTACTGTGTGATGATGAAATTATGCTGACCATTAAGCCTGGTGAACATGGATCTACATATGGAGGAAATCCATTGGCTTGCCGTGTGGCAATGGCAGCACTGGAGGTTTGTGTGTTGTGATAAAGGTTTGGAATCCAAAGAAAAAAGTGTGTCACACTGACATGATCTTTGCTTAAATAAATGATGTTATTTCTTAGGCTGGGAGTAGCAATCCAGCTTTAAGTACGAATGGAAAATTGGCAGTGGTTATCTGCACAGATCACAAAACAAATTCTAAAGTTTTTATTGGAAGTGTGTCCTAATTCCTGTGTTCTTATGGTCTTAATGTCTTAAATGTCAAAATAAAATTTATGTAGAGGGAGTTTCAAGGCACTTCTGTAAATTTGGTCAAGTAGCTTCACTAATTTCATGGAGACACTTTGAAATTGGATTATATTGGATATACCAGCAGAGGCTGCTGCTCTGTGAGCCTGATAAAATGTGTGTGCTACTGGAGCTCAAACAGAAGCTAAAATGTCTTGTCCAGAGTGTGTAGTTTAATTATTCTGTGACTGCCTAATTGACTACATGGGATGCAGGTCACTCAGAAAGCCTCATTGGATCTGGAGAGATTAAGAATCTTCAGAGCTTTACTATTGACTTGCAAATAACTGCAAATGGCAGTTTTGAACAAAATTTCAAAAATATTATTGTTTCTTGTAAAAATGAATGAGTAAAGACTTGACACCAATCTGCTGGGATATGCAGCCCTTGCAGTGACACTCTGCCTGCAACAGCTTTTGTATCTCAGTATCTGTAATGTCATTTACCCTTCTAGCATGGTACATAAAATGTAATGTCATTTACCCTTCCAGCATGGTACATAAAACAAGTGTGGTGCCCTTCAGCTGACTAGATCTGACTTCCCTTTAGGTAATTGAAGATGAAAACTTGGCAAAAAATGCAGAAATAATGGGTAACATACTAAGAAATGAACTCATGAAGACACCGTCCAACATTGTAACTGCTGTGAGAGGAAAGGGGCTGTTAAATGCAATTGTAATCCGGGAGACCAAAGGTGAGGAAATACAGTCAACTGCACCATCACAGCTTAAAAAAATACTTTTCAGCTTAAATTGTAGGTGGGAGATGGTATATAGGAATCATGTTTGTGTTCAGATCTTGGCTATAGTACTGTAGTACCTACCGAAAATTTATTCAAGTGCGTACTGTTAAAAATAAGTGGTTTTAATTAAGGCTGAAAATTTTTTTAAGTATTATTTGAATTCCTTTATGATTTGATAATGTTCAAACCTGATGGTGAATCTGCCTCTCAACAGAGGCAGATTTATCTCCTCATTGGAAGAAAACTGGCCACATTTGGAACACTATTTTTTGCCAGATTATGGAAGGATTGGCTGAGGTTGGTTGTTTTCAGGATAGTTAAAAGAGTACAATGAATACAGGAGGGTACAAGGAAGAAAAAAGTTAATGACTGAGAGTATGTTTCTAGGGATTAACACCTCGAATTATATCAGAAAACTGCATATCAAGGCTCTTTATCAAGGGATGAAGTGCTGTAGGGAGGTGGTGTAATTTTCTAAGATGTGCACGTGACGCACTGAAATCCAGATTGCACAAATCTTTGTCTAAAGTCCTGTCCAGATGTTCTTTTACCTCCCCTTTTCATGGCTCCCCTTTTTTAAATGTATTGCCCCATCTAGACAAGCACTGAGCTGTGAAGGGGCCAGAACTCTGTGTGCTGGGGGCAAACCTGTGAGACAAATCCCAGCTTTGCAGCAGTTCTGCTCAGTGCAGATTCCTGGGAGCTGCTCGGAGCGACTCCATCTGTGAACACGCTCCATCTCGCTGCCGGGTGGCAAACACAGGGTCTGGCCCCACACACGTGCTGCAGTTGTGACACTTCTTCTGCTGTGGTGTAAATGTCCTCAGTGTCCTGTTCTCTCCCCTGTGGTTGCAGACTACGATGCCTGGAAGGTGTGTTTGCGGCTCCGCGATAACGGACTCCTGGCCAAGCCCACGCACGGGGACATCATCCGTCTGGCACCACCACTGGTGATTAAGGAGGATGAAATCAGAGAGTCCATCGAAATAATTCACAAGACCATCCTGTCTTTCTGAAAAATGTGGCTTTTACAGTCTGTCTGCTGACTGCTCCGAGGTGGTGTGCTGAAATACGTGCGATGAAGGCCTGCTCTTGAAGCAATCATCTCTCATTCCTTTTATCTGAGAGGACTTGTAGCTGTATCTTTAAATTACAGTGGCTTGATAAAGAAAATACAGAATGATTTTAAAGAGTTTCCAGTCTTGGAATACTTGGAAATAAAGTGGTGAGGTGCTGTTCATCTGGTACTGAACAGTCGAGTCACAATGTTTGAGGGGAGATATCTGTAGAAATGTGCTTAATTGCTGAAAGTCCTGGCCACAGTTTAAATTGTGATTTATATCTATATTTTACTAAGGGTTGTCTTGCACTCTCATATCACTCTCCAAAAACATTTGGCATTTTTGCCCCTCGGCGAGATGTCTGTAGGAAGGAAGCACTTGTCATTATGGATGAAATTTGTGTTTCTCATTTGTTGCTTGAAAAAAAAATTCTAATGCTGAAGGTTTGACAAACTGGGTGTTATGCTGGTGAACTTGAGAAGCATCGAGCTGTGTTCTGTGTGTACAATATTTTGATTGTATGACAAGAGATGCTGTTTTCAAGCCTGGCCTCAGTGTTTGGCTTTGCAATCTTGTAAAATAAATCTGAGCATATATATCTGTTTTTACTGTTACAAAACTTTCTATAATTGGGATGTTTATATTAAAACATGCTTTGCATTAAAAAAAAATGTTAACGTGCAACTAAGATACTCAGTCTATTCAAAAAGAGCAAAGCTTATAGAAACTTAGAGTTTTTAATACTTAACTGAGCTGGTTTTAGCTGAGACTAAACCCTGATTAATCACTGTCAGTGCAAAATGTTCCCTTTGCTGAGCACAGGGGTTAAATACAGTCACATGTTCATAATGGGAAGTGGTAAATAATCCCTTGGTATTTTAAAGGCAGCTTAGTTCATGGAAGTGAACCAGTCTGCTGGTTGGCTCTCAGAACCATTTACCCTCCCTTGGTTTGGGTGAGACAGAATGATTAGTCATCTGTGGGTGAAGGAAGACTGATTTCCATTTGGAAAAGCCTCATTGTTACAAGGGGTAATGTGTCACTGGGACTGTTATTCTTAGGAATAAGAAAGAAATGCAGCAGGGTGTTGCTGAGGAAGTTTGACATTTCTGAGAGCTGTGCTTATGGAACCTGGTTGGGAAGGAGGGAAATAACTGAAGAAAACCACGGTGCAAACAACATTTGGTCTCTGAAAGGACTCCAGCAAAAGGTAAACCCCCAAAATCCTTGGCAGCCCAAAAGTTTACTTTTTTAGAGTAATAGGGCTGGCAAGGATGAAGGAGATGATCAGGTCTGTTCCCCTGCCCCAGTTACAGCTCTGTCAGTGTTTGCCTGATTGCCTGAAAGGGCTGGAGGGCAGAAGATTTCACTGTGTGTTTTAGTGCTTCCCTGCCCTCACTGGCAGCAAGTCTCCTACCACATCTGTCTGTTTTGCTGCCCATTACAGTGTCCCTAAGGCCACAGAGAACAGGTTATTTTATTTTCCTTCCATGCAACAGCCTCTTACATACCTAAAGTCTGTTATTGTTCTTGTTTCAGTCCTTGCTCCTTCTCTGGTTAAAATTCTGAGTATTTCCTCAGAGACAATGTTTTCTAGAGCCCTTGCTGTGCTATTCCTGCAATTCCCTGCTCTGCTGTGCCCTCAAAAATGCTGGATGGAGCCAGACTAGTTCACATGGTTTGGATGCAGTACTGTAGTTTATGCCCCAGTATTGTGGGGTTTATTTTTTTTGTGCAAACTGCTTTGAAGAACAGCTTCGAAGCTGTTTCCCCCCATTTTTTATTTGTGTAATAGGCAAGAATTACATGCATATAAAATTCTGTAACTTGCTCGACTGACTTGCATCCTCTGAGAGTATTTCTCTGGCTGCTGGTGATCAATTTGAGCTCTAATCTTGTCCAACCTATTTTCTGGTTGCAGATTTACTAGGCCAAGACTTTTCAGAACTGGAGAAATTTTTCTCCAGCAGACCATTGCTTGATCTCTGGGCTTTTTGTTCATCTTATAGTTGCTTCATGAGTCCAGTTTTTTTGCAAGCTTATGGAAATCAAGGTGTGTAGAGACTTTCTGAAGACAAGTCAGAAACTGTCATCCTAAATTACCCTTATTTAATGATGGGGTAATTTGAGTTTTCTGTTTTAACCTGAAAGTTCTCTGACCCTCTCAACTAAGCAGGGACCAGGGTGTGTGACTGCAGCCAGAGCTGGAGCAGACAGAGGGTTTTGATTGTTTGGTTTAATTACAGTTCAATGCCAGAACAAGCACAGAATTATATGTGTTATTTCAGAAGTGAAGACAGGTACCCAGGATTTCTCTTTCCAGACATTGAGCCTGTCACCAGTTAACCTCTGCCTAACAACACTAAAAACCAAGTTGGCAGTTGTCTGTGAGATGACAGGAAGAGCTGGGATGGCCAAAGGGAATGTCAGAGATCCTCCTCTTCTGTGCAAAGTGACAAAATGACAGGGAATCAGAAAGATCATCTGCCTTTGGAATGTTGAGTCTGTTTTGAGAAAGGAGGGGGGCAAAAGAAGGATTTGCTTTATCATGGAAAGTGTTTTTTGGCAATCCTGAAGTGGAATTTGGCCTGTAGTCAGTGACACTGCTCCAACCTCTCAAACTCAAATACAGCTGCTTGTATAACTAATGTGCTTGTAAATCCATCTGTGCTTTTGTTGTCTGGGATCCTAATTAGCCTCAGAAATTTTCTTCAGGCCTTTTATTACCAAAAAAATGTAGATAACTAAAGTGCCCTCCTCACCTGCTGAGTGCCAGAAACCCAGTGCTTTGGGGTTTGTACTTGTTCCACTGATTGCTCAAGTGCAGGTAGCTCAGCCAAAGGCTGGTGCTGAGCAAAGTTTAACTCGGAGGAGGCCAAACTGAATATAATTTACAAATTAGTGTAGTATACACACAAGAGTGTACAAAGAAAACATATAAGACGTTTCATAAAATATTATGAGCTTGGTTCCTGCATGACACCTTTCTAAGAGGTGAAGAAGTGATAAATGCAAGCTCAGAGAATGCTCTTTCTGTACCTTCCTAGTGTGTTTTTTTTAAGTTTTTATTAGCTGGAGATGAGAGCGTGGAAATGGCATTACTTTGGTGATGCTTTTTGCTGCTGTAATTGAAGTTTCTTTTTAAAATGGCATTTGAAAGAGCTCTGCATTGCTTATCCAGAGCGTTTAGGTTTCCTTACCAAGAGCTGTATAGCAATGTAGCTTTCTAAAGGTGGGAATATGTATCTCCAAAATGTTCCTTTAAGCATTTGGCTGTAAAGGCCTAATCTGCCTCTGTCACATGGCTTGCACGTATTTTTGTGAAGTAGCTTCTAATGTTTCTTTCCATCAGGTGCATGCAATGTTTTTCTAAATGAGCAGTGACTCTGCCTTCAGTGCTGTGCAAACACATGGAGGTAATCCAAGCACCCCAGAGCCAAACCAGCATTCCTGGGGCACCCAGGGCAGCCCTTGGCTTCAGTGGGAGCTTTGTGTGCGGAAATAATGCCCAATTGTGCTGGCACCTGTGCACTTTGGCACGGGGAACGTGCGTGGGTTTGGGCATGAAATCACAAAATGTATATCCTGGCATAGAAAGAAAAAATTAGACTCTTTGTGGGCAAATGTAAACCAAGATTTAAAGGCACCAAGTGAAACGCTGAGAGGCAAGAGCCGCACAGTGAAGAGGGGGAGAGGGGAAAACATACAGTGCAGGGTTTCCTTTTTCCCCCCTTCCTGCTAGCAATCTTGGGAACCATGCTTATGACATTGTCCTTTGCCTGGGCTTCTTTTCAGCCATGAATTTGTGTCGTCAAACAGCATTTTCTAAAGTTAAAAAGTTACCAAAATAGATTACTTAATAGGACCCAAGTGCCTGGTGGTCATGATCAGGTCAAGAGCTGCACATCTTGAACCTGGTAGAATTTTCCATGATGAAGCAATCTCTTTTGTTTTGTCTTTTAACAACAATGTTGGTGGACAAGTTAAGTAGAAAAGCAGGCCTTAGTTGTTTCTTTGTTATTTTTTTTTAGTTGGTTTTTTTTTTTGGCTGTAGCTGCTTTTTAATCTCTTCCGTCCTTCCGGCAGCAGGTGGAGCCAGAAGCTCGGTTTTAAACTGAGAATTTACTGTTGGGTGCAGAGTTTTGAAGTTTGGGACTCCTGGGGACTTGTTTTTGGTCTTGGCTAATAGCAAAATGTGACACAAACTTCAGCCTCATCTCCAAGCACTATCTCAAAGTAACATGCACTGTGCATTCTTGTGGCTAATCTTGTGTGAAAGGGGATTGTAAAAAGAATTCCTGTACCTCTAGCATGGCAAATGCCCAGTAATTCTGACTGAGAGGGATGTAGGGAAAGCTTAGAGGGGGAAAAAAAGAGGCTTTCCTTCTCACAGTACTGAAGTAGAGCAAAGGAGAAGGTGGAGGTTTGAGACAAAGTTTTAAATATACCTTTAAACTTGGGAACTGCTTTCCCTAGGCCTCCCTGTGGTGCTTCAATCCTGAGTGAGAGGCTTAAACAGTTGGAGTTGCTGCATTTGTGCAGTAAAAAGAAGTGCTTTGCTGAACGTTCACTCAGCCCTCAGTAGGAGAAGCAGACAAGGAAAAAAGTGGTACCAGCACTATGAAACAATTAAAAATTCCTCCTACTACTCTGGTGGGAAGCCCACAAAACTTCTGTGTTGGGCATCACTTGGAACAGGTCTTGGGGGTTGTTTGGAGGGTCATCGAATGCTTGAGAGTGGAATCATGGAATCATAGAATAGTTTGGAAAGTACCTCTAAGATCATCAAGTCCAACTGTCCTGCTTCATCTGTAAAACACAGGGAGCAGGAGGGAGTTATTCAGACCCCTTGCAGTCAGACTGCTCAGGGGTCAAGGAAGAGCTGCTGTCTTGGGCTGCTGGTGAGAATGCTGCTTTGTTTTTAGTTTCCAGTGGAAGTTACTGTGCTTTTATTTTCATCCTTGAGGCGCAGCCCATCGTGCTGGATGTTACTGTGGCACAGATAAGAGGTGGCCATAATGAATCCTCTTCAGTTGTTTCCCTCAACATTCTCTGCCCCTCTGCTCCGGTTTGTTTGGAGAAATCTGAGCAGAGACTGTGCTGTCTGGAAAATCCCCAGGCTGTTATCGGCA